TAAATTGCCTGTTTGATCAAACATCGTCTTTTGTTGGCAGCTTTGGGGAACGCCGCACGCTGACCCCCTGCCTGGCAGAGGTCTGCACGACCTGTTCCCAGCCAGCTCTGCTGAAGCAGCAAGCTGGCCAAACCAGTGCTGCTTCAAATTATGCAATACTTGCTCTGCTTAAAGGTGTAATCTGTAACAGAAGTCTAACATATTTTGCCTGGCTTGCATTTTTTCCTCTAATCTTGCTGTCAAACCCAGTTAAGGCGATAAGTCTGGTGTTCCTTTTTGTGTAGCTTGAGATGAGGGGGAAAAATCAAAATTAGCGCATACTAAGGAGATGAAACCACGTAGCTCTGCCTAATCATAGCTCTCGTGTTGTCTACAGGGTCTTGACAATGCTCTTGACTTTGTGGAGGGAAGTTGGAAAAGTGAGAATGAAGAAATCTCTGCTCGTTTTCCCTGCTTTACTTACTGCATGTGTGCAGAGCGCAAGGTGCTTGTGACACTCATTACTTTTCCTAAATGCTGCTTTTTCTTCAGATTTAAAACAAGTAAGTTACAAGCTTTTTTTAGGGACGTTATTGTCTGATAGGCATATATGTACAAGTTTGTGAAGACTGCAGGAGGAGGGATAGGTTCTACACTTCCATGAAATAAACAGTGTGATTATGCTATAAAAAGTTTGGCTAAGATCTGTCAGCCTTCTAACAGATACAGCTTTTTGTTTAAAGATTAAGGTTTTTTTATTATTTACCATTCAGCTTTATAACACAGAAGACACTGCATGTGCTTATTTCATTGACTTAATATCTAGCTATTAATATGAGGTGCCATATATAAAACGAAATTTGTCACGCACACTGATATTTCTTAAAACATACCCTTTTTCAGAGAGAATTTCTCAGAAAAAAATACTTCATTTTAATTTCAAATTTTCAAATATTATTTCCAGTGGAAATTATTTCCATATTATTTCCAGTGGAAGTCTGTCCTGGTCTTCCAATTTCAAGATATGACCATTAGAAAAGAATAGAATTTGCATTTCAGAGGTGCAGGAATAAAGGCTATGTTTTAGAATAAGTCAGTTAATGTTTTGTATTCTTTCTTTCATTCTCCACATTTAGAGAAAATATTGTAGTGGTGATGCTATTTTTACTTCCACTCTGTTTTCATGTACCGCAACTTCTTTACATAAGAGGGGTTTTTTTTATGCTTTTCTGTTGGGTTGTGTAACTAATTTGTATGTGTTTCCTTTGGCCTTTGCAGTGATATCTTCTGTGTAAAATCTCACCAAGCTATTAAATATTTTGCTGAGGTAATCCAGGCAGCCTTTCATCTAAACCTATGCTATCTACCATACTGATAAGATTGGTCAAAGATACCTGGGGAAAATTTGGCAACTCCTCCTGTTTGCTCTGGCGTTGATCCATATTGCTTAGGCTTTATTCCACATTTATCCACAGCCCTTCATCTCAATCTTGCTCAACCTTCTTGCACACCTTTCCTCATTTGCACACTGTTGGGTCCTCAACTAATGAAAACATTTGCAGCTCCTTTTTTTTATTGCATTTTGACTTACGGGGGTCCTGACTGCAAATTGCACTAGAAGCCCAATGATGTTGAAAGTCCAAAAATCAAATGCTGGTCTTCAAAATCAGGCCTCTCATCTACCCAAAGAAATTATTTTAAGGGACTACTTATAGTAATTTAAAAAGGCTTTTTCAAATAGTGGAAATGTTTGTGAATACCTGATAGGAGTGAAGCAGTACTCCGAACGCTTACTTCTCCCACAGAGTTGCCAGGAATCGCTCCTTTTACTCCCATGGTTCAGGCATTGTACTTTGTGCTGTTAACCTCTGAACATAATTGCACGCTTTCCAGGGCAGAAAATGGTTTAATAACAAATCTTTTACATGTTCTGGCTGACTGTACTGGGTTAAAGGTTTTTAAGTAAAAGTCAGTGCTGAGTATGGCACGTATAATTCAGACAATCATTGCACAAACAATACAAAGTCCATTCATTATCTAATCAGAGGCTTTCTTATATCTTTTTACCAGGCGAGATCTCTATTTATTGATCTCATCACTTTCGTTATGGTAAGAAAGCGGCCTTAACTGCTGATACTTAAAAGATTTTTTTTTTTTTTTGTTCCCAAAGTTCCCCTTCCAAAAATTAGTCTTGCCTTTCAGGGTCTGAGTATGTACCCGTGATGGTACTCGCTTCAGAGAAAGAATACCCTCTCATTGATTAATGGTGAGATATTGCCTCCTCTCAAGGGTGATTCAAAGTACCTAGATCAGCCTCTTTCTCTGACTGGCAGAGCCAAAATCCGAGTCTGCTCAGGTAATTCAGTTTACTCTTGAACTCTCAAAACTGCCGTAATAAGCTTGAGCTTAATAAACCTTGCCTTAATAAGCTTTGACACACAAAAGTTTGTGGCTCAGTCACAGTCTGGATCCTGTACTGTTGTTCCCTTATAGTACATGGCTAGCGCTCGAGTCCAAATGGCTGGCACTCCACCTCGTGTCATGCTGATTTAAAAAGTAGCCAGGATGTAGTCTGGAGCAAGAGAAGCTCTGCATCGTAACGAGTTCGTGCGGCTGTCCTTCCTGCAAGCCAAACTTTCATAAGCAACTCTCCAACTCTACCCTTTTCCCTGCTTTCTCATCCCACCTTCCTCACCTGATTGTATTTGTAATCCAAACTCTCAGGTTCATTTCCAGAGCTGTAAACCTCACCGAGAAGCAAGGAAGCTTATTGCCCCCCAAAACTTCCTAGGATGCTTAGAAACATGATGTGACTTCTGTAACTACACAGCATGAATGAGCTCCAAAAACTGTAATATAAACTCCCCCCCCATGTATCAAGGCATAGGAAATAAAAATGTGGTTTACTTCATTTAGTCAAAAATTCCTCAGATCTGTTTGTTTGAATGGACTAGGGTTAGGTTTAGTGTGAGAGCCATTAGGGTTAAGGTTAGAGTTAGGTTTAGGGCCTATTAGAGTTGGGGTTAGGCTTAGGGTCAGTGTAGGGACTATTAGGGTTTGGATCAGCGCTGTTAGGGTTCGGGTTAGTGCCTATAAGTGTTGGGGTTAAGGTTAGGGTCATTAGGGTTAGAGTTATGCCTAGTGTTACAGCTGGTTAGGGATGTTAGTAGAGTTAGGGTTAAGGTAAGGGTTAGGGCCATTAAGGCAAAGGTTAGGTTTAGGGTTGGTGTTATGGTTAGGGCCTGTTAGGGTTCGAGTCACTGTTAGGGTCAGGACTGTTAGGGTTAGGGCCATTAGGATTAGGGTCTATTAGGTTTTGGATAAAGGTTAGTGCCTGTTATGGTCTGTTTGCATCTCTCAAAGTTACAGGACAATGCAATTGTCCTGTGATTTAAACTTTATTTCATGAGCTCATTAAGAAATTTGACAAGATTTGACACAACGAACGGGCTCAATCCCCTGTTGCCTAGACTGGCCTATCATGTGAATTCACTTATTCACCACTCAGGTCATAAGATTTCATAACTTATAACCCATAACTCTTAATTCATGCACCTATGACAAAAAAAAAAAAAAAAAATTAGTTCCCTAGCCGACGGTGAGAGTCTCATCCTTCCTCCTCCATCGCGGCGCGGGCATCTCCTGTATCACACTGGGAAGCGCGAAAGCCTCAACAGTCCAGCTGCTGTTGGATCTGCTTCAAAAGCATTTACAGATTTCAAACCACAGCCATTTTTATGACTTACAACACGTGTTTCCAATGCTTAGCTGCTACAAGAAACTCTCAGTTGGCTTTTCAGATGCATAACTGAAGATGGTATTCATCTAGAGGCATACATACAAATACATACACCCTCCCCACACCCTAGGATAAGCAACTTGAAATGCATACAATGAGTTTCTTTTGTACAGGTTAAAATATATACCAGAAGTGTATTGGCACCCTTAGTCCCAGTAATCACAAGAGGGAAATACAGCAAGGCTGTGTACTAGATACAATGTCTGTTCTGGTGCTGCCTCCTTATTAAGGAGAAGAGACTATGAGCACTCTTTTTTCCCCCAGTGCACTCCTTAAATAAAGAACCCAGGATTATTTCTTAATAGAAAATTATAAGCAACAATCCACATTTGATTGAGAGAGCTCAGTTCCAGGAACTCAGTTGTGTTACTTCTAGGTTTATTACTCATGTATACTAGCGGATAATAATACTATTCAGTGTTTAAGAGCACTTTGGGGCACAGGCTTGACAGGAGACCTCATGGTTATAAACAACTCAGCCAGACCAGCATGGGGAGTGTACGCATGGCTCAGCCCAACACAAAGTACAAAAAACAAACAATGAATAAAGAAACTTTGAAGAAAACAGCAGGCTTAAGCTGTTTTCAACCCTTATATTTCTTCTGACAACTGGGGATGCCTGGCAGTGTGACAATGAGGATGCTCTAGAGAGCAGTAATGGGGGAAACATTTATGTTGTTATTCAACTGCATATTGCAATTGCTATACTCTAAGTGTGATATGTAGTTTATTATAATTTGTTACGATTTAAGCGCATTGCTGGAACACCATGTTAATTCAAAATCCTCTACAATTTCAAATAAGCAAATGTTGTATTAAGCATTAAACCCTCCACATGAGGAGTGCCTGAAAAAAAAACTGGTCAGAGGACTCTGACATGAAGCTAAGTGTGTGCAGCTCCACCAGTCCATAATCTGACTTGAACACATACTCAGGCTCATGAATGCTCTTAGCCATATTTACTTAGATGCAGCTAGCAAAGAGTTTCTCCTGTTCTAAGCAGTCATCTCCTGCTTGCCCTATCCACTCTTAACATATCTGAAACAAAACACCAGAAAAGACCAGAAGTAAAATTCAGGTAACTTCATATCTATTGGAATCATATCCTTCGGTTCTTATCCATTTTCTTCTGCCTTAGAGTCTCTTACGGTTCCTGCTCCTCAGCTTGCTGGGAATGCAAAGACGTGGCAGGCTGTGAATGGTACCATCAAGCCTTATCTTCTTATTTGTGTAGGTAGGCGTCAAGCCAGAGCTCTCCTGAATTCTTCAGAGAGCTGAGAGAGAGAGCACAAGGGGCAACATTTTGCAGGGTTGCTTAGGGGAGTGTTGGTGGGGACAAGGGAAATGAGGGTTTCTGTGCGTGGATTTGTAAAAGAAGAACAAGCCACCTCTTGTTCTGAGGCTTCCAGCCTCTCCTACATCCTTCTGCAATGTTTTGCCAGTGTGTTGTTACTTACTGCACAATGTCTGCAAAAGCCGTGAGCAGCGGCTTACATTGGTACTCGATGCCGTGTTTGGCACACAAGGACTTCACCAGAGGAGCCACCTTCCAGTAGTTGTGTCTTGGCATTGTGGGGAATAGGCTGTGAACAGGAGACAGACAAGTTCTCTTCCAGCGCCCCATAAGAAATACTACCTTTCACATGTTCACATTCATTATTACTTCCCAGGGATCACACAGCTCACGCTGAGGGTCTGTAGCTGCCCCTGACTCTTCTTTCCCCTTGGTGTGCTTTTAGCACAAGTAACTCGTAAGACTTTCCTGCTTTCCCCCTCCATTATTTTCCACAGTTTTCTCTAGCATCTCTGAAGCAACATTTCTCCAAATTAAGTGATGCCAGAAACTGGAAGAATCTACTTCCCCGCCTCCCCTTTCTGCAGAACTAACCATTTCCATAGCACAGAAAAGGAGATGAGCCCATCCTCCAGTTGCCTGTCTCTAGAGTAATAGTGTAAGCCGTCAATATAGGTAGGCTTAAACTACCGTGTCGGACTATAAACAGGGTGCCTTAGCATGTGCATGTTCACTAATGCTTACGAGCTACTGCTTTGGATAGACCCTGTTGCTGTCTGTATGGTTTCATAGCTCCTGCCCATGTTCAATTTTTGCTAGTCATTCTCACCTTCCTGTGGGTCCAGGGAAGGTTTTGAATTACACTATGATTCTCTTTAGGGTTTTCAGTCTTTTTAAAGACAAACTCATTGGTGCCCCACAACTGTTTGTAGAATTCAGAGCAAAGAAGAACAGGGAAAAGAAAAGAAAAAAGGGAAGAAAAAATATTTTTTAAAAAAAGAGGGAAGAAAATTCTCCCTCAGGGTGTGTACTCACTGATGTTCAATCTGGAAGTTCAGATGCCCAGTAAACCAGTCATTGAACAGAGACTGCTCGACATTGCATGTTGCCTGGAGCTAGAGGGGGGGAAAAGAAAGCAAAGTCAGTACAAATGGGTGACTGCAGCCTTTCTCATTTGTCTGAAGAGCACAGTATGCTGTGCTGCTCTGTTCTGTTGTTTTCTTCTAGCCTAAGCTGAGCTACCTCAAGCCAGGGATCATAATCCTCCTTCAGCTCCGTGGACCAGCAGAGGTATGTAGACTGGCTAACATGGACCATGGTAAAACTAGGAGTTGACTCTGTGCTCCTGTGAATGCATGTGAAAAACAGTCAAAAGTTCCTCCTGGGTCTTCTCAAACCTATTTCTGCAGAAAAAGCAGAGATGGCAGGGTACTTCTGTGATGGTCAGACTTTACTGCTGGACTCCAGTAAGTCTCTCTGCAAAGAGGGGACACCACACTGGCATTCTACTCGTGCAAAATTGCTCAGCAAGAGCAGGACACAAACTTCCATCTCCGCATAAGTGCAAAAAGTCCAAGACAGAATGATGCAATAAGTGGGGAGGTGGGTATGTTTAGGAAATAGAGCTGGGACCTAGCTTTGATTTTAGATTGCCCATGAATGTATCATTGCTGTCCTTCTTCACTGTTATTGTAACTGAATCCCATTATCCTATTAACCTTCACTTCCCAGTTACCAACAGGTTTTCACCCTTAATGCAATAGAGGGCTTGCTTGTCTTATGGTTGGAATTTGCACCTGTATGGCCACAATTCTTAAGAATGGAAAATATTTTACCTGAGTAGACACCCAGTCCAAATTGTTGTCATAGTAAATATCCATAGGGATATGGTTCATCTGTGAAACCCAGACAAACCAGCTGCTCTCCAGCATCCTGTGCAATCAGACAAGAGGCCAGCATTCAGTAACAGGTAAGCAAGTCAGTAATGAACCATTGAAATAACAGCGTAGCCAGACTTACAAACACATGGCTGAACACCAGCCTTGCTAATCCAGCACCTGGAAGAACTTCCAAAACCTGGAAGTTTCATACTTCCTTATGAAACTCATGATTATTTAAGAGGTTTTGTTATGAAAATGATGTAGGCTGTTATTCGTCTTGTTTTATCTGTAGCCAAGGACCAAACCGACTAGAGTCAGTAAAATGGTCCAAGTGGAGAGCGTATTGTCCATTCAAGCCAATGCTGCTGGACAATGCCTGGGCATTTGCAAGCCCAGGCTAAGCTGTTTCTGTTAAACGTTCTCTTTCTCTAACCAGTAGCAGACCCAACACCCAAAGCACTGAACGTTATGTAAGGTGAATATTCCTCGATTTGCTCAGCACTCAGTGAAGTCTCTGCTGCCAGAGCCAACGAGACGACATAAAACTTGAACTAGCAACTAAGCAGAAGAGTCTTAATTTAACTTTACGGAATTCAAAAAAAAAAAAAAAAAAAAAAGAGATGGTTAAGGAGAATATGGAAAGATAAGCAAAGGCAGAGAAAGGCAGGCAGGCACAGATGGAAAGAATACATAGAAGAAGGCTGAAGAACCTTCTAAAAAGATATCACCTGAATATAAAATAGTACGCCAGGAGACTCTTTATTTCTAATAATGATCCATAAGTAAAAAAGAATCTGATATAGAAGGTCAGCATCCAGGCCAAGTCCTACCAAAACCAGAGACAACAAGAAAAGAAAATAATTATAAATTACATTTGCTTAAATCTTTTTCTAAGCTTCATGTTATATGTACAAGAGAACAATCTACATTCAGCTTCTGTAGCTTTTGCTAAATTGGATCATCTGGAGCAATCCAAGTTAACACAAGTTAATAACACTTTTTTACAGCTTGCTATAATGAGATGACTCTGAGCATTCACGCCTAGTAAGTAGATTAACGTATTAGCAAATGACTGTGCATTCAGAACCATGAGTTGAAGACTTGTCTCAGATCACCGCCCAGGACTCCACAGCGAGCTAAGTGCTAGAGCAACCATCCCGTCTGGGCTGGGAGTTGCTCTGTCTTGTATACATAACACACGCAAGAGAAGGAAGTGTGAAGCATTAATTCCGGCTGCCTGGCGTCGGAAGTAATGCCAAGTATATGCATTCTGCTAACAAATCAACCACAAAATTTCCTATAAATCCACATCTTCCCATTCCTGACCGCTACGGACCTTCCAATTTGCTTCCAAAACCAAAGGAGACAGTACACGTCATGGTTCTGCAAACGAGGCAAAGCAGTACAAGCCAAACAGCCTGTTGCTTGTTTTCAGGCTTTTGTCATTGAGTTGGGGAACATAACGAGTTTAGCAGAAAGTATGCAGAGCCCCTGAAAACGCTGCACCAAACTGACTGTCACATTGGGCTTAACTGAATGGCGTACAGTGTCACACAGCAGGGACTGAGCTCTGGACAGAAGCTGGCTCCACATTCAGAAGAAAGGTTGAAGGCCCACAACTGACCCCTTCTTGGTTGCACGAGTAGCAGTACTTACCACCCAATACCTTTTTGTGTATGCAATATAAAACGTGTGGCAGTGGAAGTAGGTGGGAAACAGGAGCGGAGGAAGAGCTGTAAGGGAGAATTCATTATCACTGGTAATGTCATGGACTGAATGACAGATAATCAAACTGGAAGCAGAGGATCCCTGAACAGCTACTCAGTACGGAGAATATTCTGAGAAGTTTTAGGGCTGCAGAGTTTTCTGGGTGATACCGGTAGGCATCAACGCAGCCAAACAGTAAGCAATCTGGGAGCCTGCTGACCTCAAGAGGTAAAACAAAGGTAAGACAAGAAGCTCTCTGAAGCTTGACTGAGGACAGTTCCTGCTCTTCAGCATGACAGCCTGCTACTGCTTGTGTCACCTGGCAGGACAGGTCGTATTGCCTTCCGCTTCCTCACGGAGAGCTATGACCTCGGCTTCTTTTAGAAAAGAGTGAAAACAAAAAGGGATGTGGAGAATCCTGAGAAATAAGGAGGACAAGACCCCAGAAGCTTAATAATCCTTTTGAGTACCACAGTAAGTAACCACTTTGCAGGAAAGCAACTGACTGATACTGGTTAGGATGCTGTATTAGTCCCCCTAAACATTTCTAGGTCTGCCCATTAATCTGACAGTGCTTACAAACCTGAGATTTCATTTTAGGCTTTTAACTGAGGAACAGCCACAAAGGACTATTTTGAGAAGTGGCTTCCACAGCCCCAAAGCTTACCTGGCTCCCCATTCTGTTGTTCAAAGCAGGGCAACAACAGGAATACCTATGAAATCCCTTGCCCACCAGGGATTTCGGGTTGCACGAACAGCTCAAACTCAACCTTCCGAACGGACATCTCAGTTGTACTCAAAAACCAAAACAACAACAAAAAGCCCTTAGACTGTTCTTTAGATTTGAATACTGCTGAAAGATGTGGTGTGACATTGTAACTCAGAGCCACTGTGGAGGACGTGGAAGATCTGGGGTAGGATCATCTTCCTCAAATAGGCATCTCCGAGTTGCGTATCCGAGATGCGCGTATCTGAACGAACCCTGCTGGTTCCGTCCAGCCGCTTGAGAGAAAAGCCACTACTGGCAGTTCCTGCCGTCCTGAGAGGTCAAGGGAAAAACCCAGGTCAAATTAATCACACCTTGGAAGTGCCCATTTCTGCTGGGCTTTAGGGTTCAAATTCATACTCTCCTCTTTTCAGAGAGGCATGCTAAGCAGCAGACTAGACCAGACTATTCTGGAGAGATGCAAGAGGCGGTATCTCCTTCTCCCGTGTTGAAATTGTGCTGCTTTGCAAAAGGAATAAAGCTCCACTAAGACGGGAAGAAGGGGGCAGGAGCGAGAACCTAGAGATCGGGGCACCGACAGCGGAGAAATTCTGAATTTTTCCTCTGCTCTGTTTACGCACTTTATTAGCCATACATTATACAGCTCACATAAACAGTCTCTGGAGCCCTCATCACACCCTCCCAAGTAACTTCCTTAATTAGTGAGTTAAGAGTTTTTCTCCTTTTCTCTGTCCAAATAGATGTAGACTTATTTTTGCAAATTTTTAAGATGACGCAAAGTTTTAAGATGACCTGGGATAAGCGTACCCCACTACTTTTTCTACCCTGGAACAAACTTAAGCCCTTTGGTTAGAAATTCTCAAACCAAATTAATGTGTTTCAAGTCAAGAAGGGCACAGAAACACATAGGATCATATGATAATTCAGGCTGGAAAGGACCTCAGGATCTCAGAGCAGCATCAGCTATGAGGTCAGACCAGGTTACATGGGGTTTTATCCACTCGGGTCTTCAACTCCTCCAAAAATTAGATGCAAACTGATTATTATGTTCTTTGATGCAGGCACCTTAGTTTTGCTCAAGTCCTACAGGTCAAAAGTAAGACCTACAAGCCCCATTAGTACCCCTCATGGTATTGCAGGAGAATGGAGATACTCACTGATGAAGAAGTATTTGTGTTGGTGATTGTATGGCATGTATTTTTTCTTTTTGATCCCAAGCTGAGAAAAGAAAGAGCAAAAAAAATACTGAGTGGAAACTAAGCAATCTGCACAGGTAACTTGCTGTTTTCCATTCTTTCTTCCCCAGAGGCACTCTTCTTCCACACTTCCCACAACCCCCATCCCTACTGTATCCCTCTTCTGTACCTGTCCTATTAGTTTACATACATAATAACCTTTTCTATAAATCCTCATTCCATTAACGTAAGGCTTTACTGCCTTACAGCTTTGTAAAGTCCTTCAGAGATAAACTGCTAAGCAAGCATGTGATTTTTCTCCAGTAGGGGAAAATAAATTAAGCGATTGCTGAAAAGTAGTTCTAGATATACTTACGACAAGCCAAAACAGAGGTAACAGCCCATAAGAAAAACCTACGTTGGTATATGGTAGGAAGGAAACTGCTGTCACAGATACCACCATTGTCTGGGTTGGAACTGAATGATGTAGTAAAAACTATAGCAGAACATTTCATCCATTAAAAGATGGTGTGATCTGTAAGTTATGATAAAAATAATTTTGGGGGTGGATAGAGGTGAATTTTAACTGGTGAATTTCCTTGGGTTTGTGTTCTTACCACATTCATAATTCATTTGGGGAAATATTAGATATTTCAAGGCCAAGCTATATTATTGGTCAAAAATAGCCATATGTATCTTCTCTCTACCCCTACATTCTTCTCTGATTCTGTACACTTAAATGACAGTTTCATGATGGCAAAGGTCTTCCAAGGAGAAAAATGTTTCACGGCTGTAGCTACTCTGACAGGGTCTCAAGAACTGATGAAGTTGTACAACAAAAGGGGTTCAGCATTGTCTTAGGTTGTTGCTCCTGGCAGTGGCCTAGCAGTACAAGCTGAGAGCATCCCATCTGGTCAAGTGACTTCTGCCCACTAGAGGGACCTGCCAACCAGTCCTACAGAGCTCCAGGCACAGCCCTTGGTTATTCAGTCCTGCTGTGCTGGCTGCCTTTCACAGCAAGGCTTCTGCCTTCTCCTAGGAGGCATAGACATGCCAAAGCAACCTGTATCTCTGAGCCTCAGACATTAATATTAAAGTAATAACCCCAAGCCAACTGCAGACCTGCTTTATATTAATGTTTACAAGCTATCTAATAATCATTAATTATGTTGTTCTACTAGGTCATTAGGTTGCTATAACCATTAATAGTCTTTTTATTGATGGCTTTTCCACCCTATGTATGATGCACGTACATCATGTCTGATTTATTTACAACTACTTGTCAACTGTTCAAGAAATTTTTAAAGGAACTGAATGTGAAATGTGACCTGCTTTCAAAGGCTGAAGAAAGTAGACACAGATGAAAGCAATCTTTTTTCAGAAGCTGTCATCACATCTTAGTTTTAGATCTTTATGGTACAGCGTGCTTTTTTTGGCTAGGGTGTTCTTCCCAGTTCCTAGTACACAAGCGCGCACACACACACACACACACTGACCTCCACAGAGAATTTCTTCCCCAAAGTAAACAAGAAAGGGTGCATATCAATGTCAGGATCTTTCTGGAAGCAGTTGGGTTTGGCATGGTGTTGGGAGTGCAGAAGAGTCCACCATTTGGCTGATGCCCCCTGTTTTAGTGAAGAACAAAGTACGAAAAGGAGAATGCTTTCAGAGCCAGATTCTCTCCAGTTCCCCTCCTTCGCCCAGTGCTGAACACACTGTCCTCCACAGTCTTCAGAACACACACTTTTACAGGAAAGCCATCAAATCTAAGAAGTTTTTCCAGGGTCAGGTACTTACAATCAAATGACACATCACAAACTTATGCAGCAAGTGGTTCCACTTGGTCTCCCTGAATACTGAAAGGTGTCCTAAATCATGTTGTAACCATGAAGCCTGGACCTGGAAGAGGAAAAAGAAAACATTGGGAGTGGGAAAAAAGAGGAATCGAGACCAGGACATTGCCACATCCTTTGCTTTGAAATATCAGGATGTATTTCTTGGACAGTGCTCCAAAGTCACAATCAGAAATGAACTATGAAATCCTGATACTCTTTAGGCTTCCCCTAGAATATATCTTGCTGAAAGAATCCCAGGCTTAGTGGGCGCTCCCCACATGCGGAATTTCTTCTTTACGTCTTCTGCAAACACATGCCATATAGTGGTTGTCTTCTAATGACAAAGGAGAACTATGCCAAGTAAGGAAATGGAAGACTACAAAACTGCAGTAGTATTATGTGTATGAAAGTTGATGCAAGTCCACGTGTACATGCTGTGGACTTAGTTGCTTACCTGGGAAATGGTCAGCACCGCCAGAGAGACAATAAAGGGCATTAAGGATGTCCCAAAGTAGAAGAGAATGAGCCAAGCAGCAGTATCCAACAGGAGGATGTGAGCGAGGTGCAGGAAGAAGAAGAGTTGATTTGGCTTCAGAAGTCCCATTTTCTCAACAGTCGCACGCAATTCACGGAAGTCTTTCACCAGCATTTTCTGTGGGAAGCACCAGTGTTACATGTTCCCTGTTTCTGCAGTGTAGCACTGCAGCCTCAAAAGCCAAGGACCACTTTAATAGAGGAAAGAAAGAGCAAAGGATCTGGCCAAATGGGCAAGAGCTGGGCTTGCACACAAGTAAACTTCATCATTGCTCTCCTACAGCTTCTCTGTGTCTTTGCCTGATAAGGTACATGGAGCAGCAAGCAGCAGCCATCACGGAGCACAATGTCTGTACCCCCAACCCCTAAGACTATATCTTTGGTGCTTCTTCCAGCATCTTCTTGGCAGGTAGCGTAGGGCTCGGATGGAAGTTGTGTCTAGTGGAAGGTGTGGTGTATGTGCATGAACATAGCATGCCATCTTGTGGTAGGCCTTTGGGATGAAATTATTCCTCTTCTGCTACCAGTTCCAACAGATCAATATATGTTTTCACTTTACCCTTCCCAAGATTAACGGGAGGGTTAAATGCCTGTATGAAAATGGCACCTACAGCCCAGCTGGCCTCAGGCTGGTGGGCGCTGAAGAAGGAGGATGGAACAAGAAACGAGCACAGCACAGGTGCTAGACCAACCCACCTTTGCCTTTGCCAGCTCCGCAGATGCCTCCCAAGTCTGATTCCTGTCTCCATGCAGCCCGCCCCACAAAGGAGCTTGCCAGCCTACTTTCCCAAGCATTTAGAGGAAATGGAGTTTCAACGGAGCAAGACACATGCAGGCTCTGGTGCAGGGCAGCTATGGAATCAAGAAATAGGCATGGCCACAGGTGGGTAAGAGGGTTCATGAGGTTCCCACCGACATAGGAAACGTGGCCATGCCGTTCTGGGACAGCCAGACTGCTCTGAGTTGTGTTTCTAATGCCTGAGTTACATGGGGCCATGTATCATCTTGCCCCCCTTCAGCATGCAGTGGGGGACTGTGCGAAGGAAGAGTCAGGGCAGGCTGGGAGGAATGGGGAAAACTCTTGGAGAGTGGGAAGAAATGAGGACCACACAGCCCAGGGAATATTCGTACTCCAAGACCATTCCTGTTCTGTTGTCTGTGCCTCCCTCATGAGGTTTTCTTTGACGTACTAGGCTGGTGACTCTCACAGTGCCATCAAGAGTGCTTCTGTGAACGATTGTGCAATTCAACCTTGAGACTGATGCAAGAAGGCTGTCCAAATGGGCAACGCCGATACAGCCTGTGAAACTTAATTCAAGGCTAAAACGCTCTACCTGCAGTCTCTCCCCACAGATACCTAACAGAAGGGAGTACAGTCTGAAAATTTACTATCAGCTGGAAAGAATTACTTAATTTCTGGCTAGCTATTTCTCAACGCGAGGGAAAGGAGAAAAGGTGATAGCTGTGATATTCACGAGAGCAAAACAAGGCTCTGCTATTTTTGTAGAGTTGCTGTGATAAGAAAAATTCATCTTCAGGAAACTCATTCTCAACCACATAATGCGGATTTATTATTTCTAAGTAGTAGCACAAAAAATTGTGAAGAACCTGGATCCCATTGTTCCAGGAGCTACGCTGATACAGAAGAACAAGGTCTAATCTCAGAATATTTCCCTTTAATCTGTCTTTGATCTGATTTACGAGGATAGACTTACATTTTTAGTGGGCTCTATACTGGGTTGATCCGGTGCCAGCTCCCCAATCTGCAGTGACTTCAAGTACTTGCTCACCAGCACCTTGTCAACATGGAATGCTACAAAGGCATCCTGCAAATGCACGAGAGTGAAGGAAGAGGTAAGAAAAACAAATCCTATGGTACTAACCTCGATGTGCACAGTAAGACGTTCACTGTGGAGGAAGCGCAATGTTAAAGATGGCTGATTTACCTTTCTATCTCCTCAAGCTTTTGTTGACCTTTTTCTTCTCTTGTCCTTAAGTGAGATCTTATTTCAGCTGGCAAACAAGAGAGGTCTGACTTCCACTACTGCAATTACTACAGGTATGCAAGCTCCGTAATACAAAATTGAATGAATCTCCATTGTACGCCTAAAGCAGAGTTTAGTTCCCTTGCCTTTCTTCTTCCCCCGCTTCTCAACCCCAATGACTTTTCCATCTTCCTGGATATCCAGGTGCCCAAAAGACCTTTCTTATCAGCGGACCAGAATCTTCTTCGTTGTGCAGTTTGTCAAAAGAGAAAATTGCCCTTTAAATCCGACTGCTTAAAAGAAAAATGTGGTTCCTCTTATTCACTGGGTAGAGAACTCCACTCCCAAATTAACTAAGACAGGAAGCGTTTCATCAAGGACCAAGTGATACCAGAGAACTTTCTATTTTTCTCTAGTACTTGGAAGTATTCAGAAGGAAATGAATGCAAAAGCCCAGGCCTGGTGTTACTGATCTCTCTGAAAGACAGGAGCATGAACAGGCAGTGGTGTGATAGCCTTCAGGCAGGGCTGGGGACAGAAAGGATGGGATGCAGAAAAGCAGGGGAGGAGACAACTGCATTGACAGAGGATGACGGGGGCAGTTGGAGCCCTGAAGAAACAGGAGCACACGCTTGGATATGCCAGAGCTGAGACTGAGCTGAGCTGTGAACTCAGTCTGTAGGAAAGGAACTTCCCCTGAAGATTCTCCAACCACGGAAAACTGCTTTTGTACATCCAAGTAAAGGCCTTCAACTTATTGATCTGCTTGCATGCCTGCTTGTGCACCAGCTTTCATCTGATTCAATTTAGTCATTCTAAACAGACCAGAATCTGTGCTCTGTTGCTTTCCAGCCCCAGAGTTAGAACAGAATCATCAAATGGTTTGGGTTGGAAGGGACCTTTAAAGGTCATCTAGTCCAACCCACCTGCCATGGGCAGGGACATCTTCAACTACATCAGTTGCTCAGAGCCCCTGATGTAGGGGGCTGCCTGCGCAAATGTTTATTCAGAATGGTTGTGTGACAAAATGAAGTTGTTTAGCTAATCTCTCTGAGCAAACTGCCACAGAATTTCTCTCCTGTATTCCAAAATGACACAGGCCTGGGCAACGGCGTGACAAACACCGAGGCATATATGTAACATATAATAATAAATACTGTGCATGTAATCGCTATCACTGATGAAACAAAAAATCAGCAAGCAGTTTCTCTGCAAAATAATCTACTGCAAGTACCCCGTTATTTCATGGTGTTGCAACATCAGGTGTTTTTACAGTCTCCAAAATTCAACAAAATTTTGCCAAATTCAGCCAAAAATTCCAGTCTCAAGATCGTTGCTCCTGTTTTCTGAGTCATCTCATTCCTTAACTCTGCTAGTCTATCCTTTGTGAGAAAACACCACAACAAAAAACAGCAATAAAAGGACTCCTTGTCACAGTTTTGTGCAGTGTCACCCTTACTAATATTGTGGCATTAATTATACTCATTTTTCCATTCCTCAGGTTTCTTTTCTTACTGAGAGCCTTCCATATTTTTCATCCGCTCCTAAGTTATCATCTTGCAAGGCTATATGCTCTTGGTACAATCTTCCAGTCACACTAAGATAATTTTTTAATTTTTCATGCTATACATCCAAAAGATTAAGCAATTGGCCTATTCCAAGATGCACAGACCTCACTAAAGTCTTACGGATTTTCTTAATAAACGCTTCTTTCACGTCTTTTTGTCTCTGCCTCCCAGACTGACTAAAAAGCCTATTGAATTCACACTGTCTCATGAAACTGCTCTTAGTAACGAAGAGGAGTTTCTTACTTCACCCACAATGTCCTGGATATATTCCCACTGCAACTCAGTGTGGATACAACCAAGTTGGCTGTAAACGAGATAGTTCACACATAATCAGGCTGCACAGGAGAGCACAGGAGCCCCCACACACTGATTTACCCTGCTTCTGTTAGAGGGTGACTAGTGCCAGCAAGGCTTCCTCTGTACTGTATTACACGAATAATATATAGCAAATATTCCACCTTTTACTCTCCTCCACAGGTTTTGCTGAGGCCAAGATGCACAGCCTGCAAGCTTGCAGAGTTCAAGCAGGGCAAGATACTCCAGTATCACATGTATCGATTTGCCTTGGAATAAATACATATTCATCCATTGTCTGGGGTATTCCAGCATCCTAAAATGAGAAAAACCTGACAGTACTAACTAGAGCAAATGAATGATGGAAAATTCAGAATGCAAAGTGTAGCTAATCCAGAATTTGAAATTTAACCTTAATGGACTGAAAATTATTTTTATTTCCATGACCCTCAAATATCCTTTATATATGGAAGATCAGGGAACTATTCGCCTTGGTTTGTTTTTTTTTTTCTTTCAAAATACACAGCAAGGAAGCAATCACATTTGTCACATCTTTGTATAGATATTAATTTACGACTGTTTTCTACCCTTCCTGCATTTACCAGAAGGCAAGAACTCCAAGGAATTTGCTGAATGTTCTGGTGTGTGTTTTCCCACAGGTTTCCATGGCATTAAAATAGCAGTCAGACAAGGGAAGATGACGAGCAGGAGTCGTCTTGCCCACATGCTAACTCGCCAGCAGCTGGGCATTTGTTAACTGGCCGATTCTTTCAATTTTGTTCATCTCAAGGGTCAGAAGGACCACATGCAATAACTGCAGAAACTTTTCTAGAAGACTGCTTGGGAAAGCATGCCGTCTTTGCTTTCCCTCCCAGTTACGCCGGGTGGCATTTAGGAGGGATACCTTTCCTAAAGGTATGTTTCTGGAAGCAGCTACTGTCATTGCCACAGGGCTGATGCACTACTTATGGCAGCTTCCCCACCTTCCCCTGGCTGTAAGCAATCACTGCAGTTCACAGTAGCTGCAAAAGCAAGACGGGCGGATAAAAGCAATCCTAAAGACTTTAGCTGGATAAACAGTTACATCCGCGTTGCCCCACGGGCTAAACCTCTTTATGTGCCTGTTTCCATAGCATGAGGCTGGAAAGCTTGGACGGAGCAGCAACACTACATACTCCCGGTCCCGCTGCATCCCCCCGTCCCGGCCCCGCTGCA